AAAATTTATTTTATTTTTTTTAATTAAAAAAAAAATAGATTTAAAAATCACTCTTTGACAGTAAGCCAAGGGCAACTGCTCTTTGGGAAATGTTCTTCCAATAAATAAGTGTGATCCCACTTGCTAAGCAAATTCAGTTTATGCTGATTTTACAGTGGTGTTCTCAAGGATGACAACTGCAGTCAATAGAGGCATTGCACCACCTGCCCCTTCCCTCACCCACCCAGCAGCCCAGAGGAAAGATTGCCTTTGGATGATCCTCAGTCCAAGGAGAGGGGCTCAAAATGCTTCCTTGTCCCACCCAAAAGACAATAACTTGATCTTTCCTGTCTGGCATTTTGAAAGCCTTCAGAATCCCAGCGGTGCAGACCTTGCCACACCCAAACCACCACGTTCCAACCCCGACAAAAACTCCGTGTTTTAACTTTGTTCCATAGAATCACAGCCTGGGTTTGGGTTGGAAGGGACCTGAAAGATCATCCATGGCAAGGACACCTTCCACTAGCCCAGGTTGCTCCAAGTTCCATCCAGCCTGGCCTTGGACATTCCCAGGGATGGAGCAGCCACAGCTTCTCTGGGCAACCTGTGCCAGCGCCTCCCCACCCTCAGAGGGAAGAATTTCTTCCTAACATCCATCCTAAAGCTCAGTTTAAAGCCATCTGACAGCAGCACAGAGTGCCAGCACAGCAAACCCTGACCAGCTGACACATCTCCACTGATACAGGGCAGGACAGCTCAGACAGAGCCAACACGTGCTCTGCAATATGTTCACTGCTGCTTTAGAGCAGCAGATTACACCAATGCCCCATTCAGAAGATGTCAGGCTGTGTTGGCACATGGTCACAATGTGTTGTTACACGGTAATTTTCCCCTCAGCCCAAATACCTCTAGCTCACATTCTGGCCAGACGCTGCAAAGTAATCCTAGGCAGGGGAAAAAAAAAAGAAATATCCCAAATTCTTTCCCTATTGAAACTGTGGACAACATAAATCTGTCTCTTCTTTTTTCCCCCCTTTGTATTTCAGCTTTTTTGCCTGGCTGCAAGGAGACAGAGGTTTAAGAGGAATACATTAAAAAATGCTTTCTTAACACCAACTGCAGATTCACCTGTCTCCTCAGTGCTGATACATTTTCCTTCAAAAGTTTGCATCCTTTGACATCTTTGCAGTCCCTCCATGTTCCTGCTGCTGTTTCTCAGCAATAGATAAGAAAACTTCAAAACCTTGCTCTGCAATAATGAGATTCAAAAGAAAAGATTTTTTTCCCAATCTTTCTACATAAAAAAGGCCTGAATCAGAGCCCAGCAGTGCACAAATATTACTCATGTCATTGACACTAAGAAAAGGGGAGCTGTGAATAAAAAATGTTAAAAATGAACACAAGGAGCATTGTTTGCATATCAGAAAAATTAATCTACATAGAGAAGTGTAAGAGCCTGCAATTCAGAAAGCAAAGAATTAGGACAGCCCAGCTGAGAATAATTTTCTAGCCAGTTAATTTAATTGCATAAATCATTCCTTTGTTAGCAATAAAGAGATATAATTAAAATGAGATTGCTTCTCATTTCTATTCTCTGGAAACTAAAGGAATTGATTTTGGGGAAAGCATTCTTCCAAATACCAGATCGGCAAATTACATTTACCTTTTTAGAAAGGCGAAATTATTTTGCGCTAATATCATGGAGGGTTTAATTAATTATAGATCTGCCATATGATCTTAAAGAAATAATTTACTCAATGCCCACAGAACAGAAGTTTGTAAGTGTGTGTATCCCTCTGATAGATGGTGTGCAGATTTTTACAAACAGGGCACAAGTTGAACAGGTGGCTGTCAGGAGAAATAAGAGGAAATATAATAAATGTTTAAAGCTAGGGGAGGGTTTGTGAAGAGATATTAAAGCACTGCTTCCTGTTTATTGGCACATACCTGGATTACTGGTCTTTGAATCCCTCTGAATTGGTTTTCTTTTAAATAATTTTAAATAATTGTAATGATGGTTGCATTCTATTCACAAATCTTCAGGGCTCAATAAGCTATAATAATAGGTTAATAGCAGAACAACAGTCAGAGAGGAGAAAAAAAGAAAAAAATAAACTTAAAGCCCACCAATTAAACAGAACTTTGCTTTTGCTGAATATTGCAGGGGTTGGCCACTGCCAGGCCCTTAACAAGGCTCTAACAAACACATCAGACAGAAGAAATTCTTCCCTGTGAGGGTGGGCAGGCCCTGGCACAGGTTGCCCAGGGAAGCTGTGGCTGCCCCTGGATCCCTGGAAGTGTTCAGGGCCAGGTTGGATGGGGCTTGGAGCAGCCTGGGATGGTGGAAGGTGTCCTTGCCCATGGCAGGGAGTTGGAACAGGATAAGCTTTGAGGTCCTATCCAACCCAAAGCATTGGGTTTTCTGTGACAATAAATCAGCATCCTTTGGGATCCCTGCCTTCTCTTTGCAACCACTTACCACACAGAGAACCCCAGAAACTGAGAAGATTCTGCCTCTTCCATCCCATTTCCCCCCTCCAAGGGCAGCCCCCTCTTGCAAAGCTTGCTCAGAAGTCAGGGAACAGGATCCATTTCCTCTCTGCTGTACCAAGACAGGGTCTCACTCTCTCTTCACTTCTCTCCCCAAAATAGACACTCCTTTCTACATATTTGAGACCAGTAGCCATCTCATGAACATTTGTGGTGCTGCCCACTCTCTCAATTGTCCTTTTTGTCAGGCAAAAGCTGCCACCTTTCCATCTTCCTCCACAAGAAACCTCCCCTGGCACCAAGGATTCCCATTCCCCACAGCTGGGGTTTTTCAACGGGCAGAACATCAGGAACAAATTTAAGTCAGGCACAAATTTAAGTCAGGCTGCTTTGATGAACTCTCCAAACAGTCACAGAAACTCTTCCACAGATCCCAGGCAGAGGCTGCCCAGGAGCAACACACCAGGTAAGCCTTTCCTATGCACAAAAGCTGCTTTTGCTTCATAAGCTCTTCCTTTTCTGTGTGCTTTGGAACAGAACAGGAGCAGCCTTGTCTCAGGAATGTCATTCCCCATGGGGACCACAGTGCTGTAGTGACAGCACACCCATCAGTAGGGACTGGGCTGTGGAGGAGACAGGTAAGTCAAGAAAGAGGGCTTTGCATGCAAGGGTTAAATAGCAGATAGATTAGATCTCATCATCCGAGTTTTCCAGGAAAAGTATTGTGTTGCTATGGAAACCCCAACATAACCTGGGTTTTCCCTCCTTTTGTTTGTTCATTTTCTACAAACACTGGCCTCTCCCAGTCCCTCCCCAGCTGGAGGAAGGACTTGCAAAACCAGTGATTTTTTTTTCCCCTCTAATGCCCATTTCTCTTTGCAAGTACATTTTTCAGTGATTGCCTTTCTCAATATCACTGTCCCAGCCTCCAGACTCTCCCTTTGCAGTAAGGACTGTTTAATGTGCTACCCATCAGAAACTCAGCTCCTGAACACCTTGTTCTCTTTTCTTCTTGGGGGAAAAAGGCACAAAAGCCTCGTGGTGATAAAACTTTTCAGTGAAAAACCACAGGGGAACTCCTGCAACTGCAACTTTATCTTGTCAGAGTTTCCCCATTTACAGCATCTCAAAAAACAGCATTCCCTCATTAGCTTTGGAAAAAGGAATTTTGCAGGCAACAAGAATTTGGATGTTCAGCTCCAAGTTTTCTTTGGTTTTATTCCCAGGTATCTCCAGCCATTTATTTTACTGTATTGTAATAAGGATTGCCTTTAATGAGCCTGATGGAAACATCAAGAGAACCTTTCCAAAACGTGCCCTAAACAAGGGACCTCAACACACAGGTGCATTTATCTGCCAGATTCCTTTACTCTGCACCTCACAACCTCATGATTTATACACATTTAAAGCCTTTCATGCTCCCTCCTAATTCCCCTGCACAAATAACAGGGAATAAGGAATAATACTCCTCTCAAGTGGAGGCTTCATCTCCTTCCTCCAGAGGAGCTCCTACTTTGGCATCATCAAGATGCTTAGATGGAAATATCTGTCAATAAGTTTTAACTTGTAGCTTACCTGGTCCTGGCTAGTCCTAGAATATTTAAGTGTCAAGCTGGAAAGCTGTTGTCCTGAAGCTGAAGATTCAGCAGGTTTTCCTTTGGCTTCCTCAGCAGAGCTGTGGCAGGAATAGAACGTGAATCCAGGGCCACTCTCCGTGCCAACATCCCCACCAAGTGGCCAGCACATCAGCTCCTCTCCCAGCTCATATCCCACCACCTCAGCAGGTAAAAACACAAACCTGGCTCAGCCACTCTCACCCAAAACATAAAGGAAATCTGGCTTTTGAGACAGAGCTCTGAAGATCTTTCCAGCCATGCTCTGGAGTAAAGGCAAAAGAGGAGTGATAAAGAGGTTTCCTTTCATCCCTCATACTGGGAAAAATATGTCACAATCAACTCTTTTCCCACCTTAGCTACTATTATTTTTTCTGCTTGTAGAATTGAAAAACTTGTTTACAGATTATTGTTAGCAACTCCACACGTTTCAAACAAGTGTGGCCAGTCCAAGCAGTAGGATGCAAACTTGTTACATGCTGTATAGAAAATACTAAAGTACATGCCAAAAAAAAACCAACAAATAAAAAATTAAATTAAACAGTAGCTAAGGCAGAAAGGTTCAGAAAAAAATAAATAACAAAACCAAAAAAACAAGAAAATTTTGACTTACACTGCCCTCTTGAGGGAAAGGGAGCTGTATTTCCTCAGCAAAGTAATTCTTTCCCTGTTCTTCAGGCCACACTAAACTCCCTCCCCTGCCTTGCCATATGGTTCAAGGTGGGTAGAAGTTTTTGACTAGCAGCAGTAAGAATCAATTCACACCTAGGAATCAATTATCTCTAGATAAATCATACCTTGCTTATGTTTTATTTACAAATATTTTAGGTAGAAATAAGCAACTGTGAAAGCACAAAACCTATTGGAAATACAAAAACCTGGAAATCAGAGTTATTCTTTCTTCATGAATTGCAGCCTTTTATTTTACCCAACAGCTGGTGTGGCAAAATCTCTGAGAGCAGCAACCAGACTCCAGCTTTTTCTTTGTCCTGCAAATTCCTCATCACTGGGGTACACAAGCATCATCTCTCTAGCCTAAGAATCTTGATCTGCTGATTGGAATAATCTCCTGGAGTACCTACTGGAAGTTTTTGGCAATCTCTTTCCCCAGAGCTGCTGCAATATCCAGGCTGTGGAGTGCAGCCTCCAACCAGTTTTTGTAAGGAAGGAGATGCTACTGCAATATTTCAAAGTGTAGTGGTGGCACTTGGGGACAGAGTTTAGTGGTGGACCTCTGAGAGGGCTTTTCCAAGCTAAACAAGTCTGTTAGAGTGTTAAAAAAACAAACAGAAAAGCTTAAAGCAAAACTTCAGACGGGTCTGATGCCTCCAGAAGAGCTCTAGAAGGAACAAGCACCTGCTCCTCTTAACTGACTTGCTGTCACCTCTGGCTGGTAAGAGATGAAGAATTTAAATTTTCAAGATTGCTTGAATCATCCTCCTCATTTCATCATAAAATACTGCTCTCATAGCACACACTCCTACAAATGTACAAAACAAAATTTTTCAACTGAAATGTTATGCCAAATCAGTTAGGGGAATGGAAAGACCCAAGAGAAAAAGGGTTAAATATCTTTATATCAACTAGTGTAAAAATTAACATATTCTTTTTCCAAATAATAAAAATCACTGTGTCTATCACAAGTTAAGGTACAAAACATCAATCTATAGTTTTTAAGAGCATCCTAACACAAATTGGTGAACACAGATGAAGGTTCAATACCCCACAAAGCAGACACAAGGAGTTCAAGCATTGAGAGGGAGTGTACTGTTAACTAAAATGATATTAAAATGATACTTCTGAGTGTTTGCAGCTACAAATATTTATGATGAGAGTAATTTGGCATTTAGACAGATGCTATAGCTCTGTTAGAAATTAATCTTAATTGAATAATGGTGTTGGAGTTCAGCTGGCCACTTGTTACTGACTTATCTTGAACATTCAAGGCAGACCAAGGCACCAGGTGTTCCCAGATCAAAGTTTGCAGAACAGTTTCTACAAATGCAGGGTTCTGTCTGAAATGTTGGGCAGTTTGGTGTTAGCAAGACTTGCAATATTACCACTAAAATCAGGTGCTGACTGAAACAACAAGAAACAGTCTTTTCCATATCAGCAAGCTCGTGACACCAGGATCAGCCTGGAAAGCTGAACGTGTTCTGACATGGTTTCTGAGGAAGCTGGATTTGCCTGGAATTATTATCCCTCCCATGCAAAGCAGAAGCTCTCGAGTTCAGGTATGAGCAACAAAAATAATGGAAGTGGAACACAAGTGCAGACAGGCTCAAGAACTACTTCCAGAAGACTGAATGCTCAACAGCCCTTCCCTTATTTCATTAACTTTTTCTGCTCTTGAGGCTGCAGAAGTCTTTACTGCCTTAAGGAGAGATTCGTGACACTTGTCCAACACAGCCTTTAAAATCAGCTGTATTTCCTGAAAAGAGAAGAAAAAGAAGGGAAAAAAAAAAAAACTCCATCAGCAAAGTTAAATCTTGATCAAGCACAAATGTCAAGTGAGTGGTCTGGTGGACTCAAACTATTGCAAGGGTATCTTATCCATGGCTTAAGAAGCAGCACTCACAAAACACAGGGGATGCTGTTTAGAGGATCATTGTACTGGCCACACTACAACAGGAATTTAAGAAGATTGCAAGGGGAGTAAAAAAAAAACCCTCACCTTGGCTTTTTTTGCTTTTGCTTCAGCATCATCCTTCAGCTGCTCAATTTTGTCCTTCTTCTGTTTGATTTCCTTGCGAATGACCACAACTTTGTCATACACAACACCCCTCTTCTCCTGGACTTTGTTAAAATATCTAAAGGTGACAGAAAAAAAGTTAGGACTGAGCTGACTTGTTTTCCAGATTAAACTGAAGCCCACTGTGAGCAAAGCTCGCTTTTTATGAGTCTAAAACCAGCAGCTTCCAGGAGCAATGATACACAGAATTTACTTTCTCAGAAATTAATGTGATTTTGAAACAACTTAGGTACAAGAAGTGAAACTCAGCAGGAGCCCATATGCACCTTCCTACCTCAAGGGAATAGTCAGGACACATTGTTTTATTCAAAAACTCTTTTCTTCAGCCAAGGTTACCTCCCTTGCCCTCTTGCTTATCAAAGCATCTAATTTTATCACTCAAGGGAAATACCTGACACATGAAAAACAGAAATTGGCAGCAGCTTTTGACAAAAAGGAGCATTAGATTATATTGGTTTCATTCCTAAATTAAAAGCTGCTGTTCACAGAATCATTTAAGCTGGAAAAGACCTTTGAGCTCAAGTCCAACCTATGAACATGCCCTTGTCACTTCAACCATGGCACTTAAACACCTCCAGGGACAGTGACTCCACACCACCCTGGGCAGCCCATTCCAAGGTGTAATCATCCTTTCTGTCCAGAAATTCCTCCCAATGTCCAACCTTTTTTCCTCCCAAATAATCTCCTTTAGCTGCTACAATACACTAAGTGCCATTCTGCCCACCACACAAACCTCAAGCTTGACTAAATCTTGACTCTCTCAGCCATGTGCAAGCAGCTCCCTTCCATCACAGCCAATAACATTCCCTTTTCCATATCCCCTTTCCTATCTATCTGTGTACAAGAAAACTGTTTTAAGAATCAATTTGCTCCCTAACAGTTCAGCACTAAGCTCACAGTGAAGCCAGGACCTTCCAGGGCTGCAGTTTGGTGCTGCCTTCAGCATATGGGAGGAAAGAAGAGGGGCTGAGAGGCTTTGATCAAATGACACTTTTCCTTTTGTTTAAGAAGCATCATGTCAGGATAATGCTCCTCTGAGATGCGAGCCCCATTTCCCCATGGGTCTTGAACATCTTTGATAATGAGCAAAAGTGGCAAGGGAAATTATGAAAAATTCATGAAAGGCAAATGGGGCTTTGTTGAAGTCTGATAAGTTGGAAAATTATCCCAATGTGACATTCTCTTTAAGAAGATAAAAGAATCAAGAATAAGCATTATAAATTAAATTAGTGCTCCAATAAAAGAATTGCTGTCAAGTCACATTGCAATTATTGATTTGAGACCCCAACTCCCTGCCTGCAGCATTACTGGTCTTCATACAGAGCTGTCCCACACTGCTCATTTTCCCCTCACTGCTAAGCTGTGTGTTTGTAGCAGACATGAACTTTGGCAGCACATAACAAAGACATAAAAAGCAGCATCAGGCAGAAAGATCAACTCCTCCATACTCGACCACAGTGCACTGCTGCTGCTCAATATCTTCATGCATCTTTTTAAGCTGTATCTCAGCTGTAGCAAGCTTCTCATGTTTTGCAGTGACTGTTCTCTTTAGGGACATTTCATCTGTCTTGGCCTTTTTCAGCTCTATCTGAGCACTCTCAACTTGGTTCTCCAGATTTCTGGCCTAGAATACAGAAATATAGAAATCAATTAAAGAGAAATAAATTTAAGGGGCAGGAAATTATCAAGACAGCATACCCCGTAAATGTGCTGAGATTACAGCTAGCTGTCTTCTTTTTGAAGATCTGATTGCAAACTCCTTCTCTCAGTTCACTGGTCTTTATCTGATTATAAATACATCCAAAAGGACAAGACCCCAGCCCTCAGGATGGCTTTCAGATGTGACTGTGACTTCTGCCAAGGGTAATTTGAACACATGCTATACAAATCCCCAAAAAGACTCCATACATCCCTAACAACTTGCATTCTCCCAAAACCTAGTAGCAAATAGCAGTATTGTAACAAACATTTCATCAGAGAATGTCTGGCTCAGTAATAATAATAAAGCTAAAGACACTTAAGACGTGATTCTTCCTGAAGTAACCATTTTTTGTTCTTACTTTTTCCACTCTCAAGGCAGAAGAAACTGAATTTCACTTTTCCCATCATTTCCTACCAACAACCCCAAGACAGTTCCAACTATTTTAGGTCAGGTTTCTATGGCAACAGAGGCTTTGACTATTCAAAGTGGTCAATAGCTAGTGCATAGTACATTAGCTAGTGCCACCCAGCAAAGCAGAAGCAAATGTTTTACTGACATTTTTAAGAAAGAATTTGGAAACTTCAAAATGTCATTCTTTACAGCAAAGAGGAAAGAGGAGAACATTGCTTAGACATCAAATTCTCCTTAACAGGATATAATTTGGAGAATACAAACCTCTGATGATATACTGGCCAGTCTCTCCAGATTTGCTTCCTGTATTTCCATCTTGTTTTGGTATAACTGCACTTCCACTTGGCATGATGGCAGAGCCTCAACTACATCTCTGTAACCTTCATATTTCTCAGTAACTGCTTTCTTTAAAGATAGGAAAAACACTATCAATAAACATCTTTAGAGTTCTTTTATATAGAATTAAAGCATATTGAACTTTGAACCCTCCCTCATTGTTTAAAGACACTAGAAGAAATATTTAAGGGTTAGTGAAATGAGCTCTTCACTTTGTAAAAAAAATAATTAAAAACAGGCATTTATTTGGAAGCACAGAAATAAAGGTGACACACAAGTGTTTTACACTGAATTAATCAGTAATCAGCTTTTTTCCAAGAGCTTTCAGGAAAAAAAAAAAAAAACCAAAAAAAAACCCACCACAAAGAAACAACAACAACAACAAAAAAACAACATACAGGGAAAAAATTCTACACTGATAAAACAAAAGTTATGTAAAGCTTTGTACCTGAAATTACAGCAGTCAAGTTTACACCTTTGGAACAAAAATACCTTCAGAGTCAAAGTGCAAACTTTGCTGCTGTTTGAGCAATCACAAACCACAAAAATGAGTGGATATTGTAATTTAAAAAAAAAACAAACAAACCAAAAAACCCCAAAAAGCTAGGAGGGAACTCAGTGTTCAGCATGTTAGTGAAGACAGCCATCAAGTCCAGAACACAGTGAATGACAACAGAAGCACTATAAAGCACATGTTCTAAATCCAAGGATATTTGGGAGCTGACAAAATATTGTCTCCTCTGGAGGGCAAACAGCCAAATAGGTATAGACAAAAGAGTCCAACACCTGGTTTTACAAGTGACTGCAATCTTGTTTTTCAAAAGGAAAGAAAAACCATGAAAAATAAACCACCACCTCTACCACAAACCTTCCATTTTCTCTGAGGTTGTGATTTCATTTCAGACTAACCACTGTCCTGCTGGTGTTTTACCATCATCCAAGAAGCAGTTCTAGGTGATGACAGTCCAATAAAACATGCTTTTTCTAACAGAATACCTCCACATGTGGACAGAGGAAAACATCACCTTAGATCTCTTCAATTTCTTAATAGTCTCTTTCATCAGCTCATTGTCAGTTTTTTGTTCTTCTGGATTCCTCACAATTTTGGATTTCAGCTGTTCCTGTTCTTCTTTCAAAGTAGATATAGACACTTTACACTCATTCTGGTTAATGAGATAAACATTTTCAATATTAGTGATTAGGTGAACAAAGAGGAATTGTGTAGCAAAGTTTGCCATGATCTTAAGACTAGACAGGTTCTTTGGTGTGTAGTCATTCCTCATTAGGAAGTTCTAAAAATAAACTCTTCTAAACAGCATTAACATCCCAAATCAAAGCAATTAACAGCCCATTTTGCTTTCCAGATTTGTTCACAGGGGTGCACAAGAACAGCAGTTAACTGGTATTTTCCACAAAGAGCCTGCCAGCTAATCCTAGAATGGTTTGGGCTGGAAAGGACCTCAAAGATCACCTCCTTCCAACCAGGCACAGCTCCCACTAGACCAGCTTGCTGTATTGCCAGCAGCTCTCTCAGAATTCCTCCCCTAGGGATACTGAGGCAGTCACTGCAGCATTCCAGAGCCAGCTCTGTCATGCTGGGAGAAGAGAAACAAGTTTCCTGTGCTGCCTCTCACAACCTCCTGATTTGCCTCATTAGCCCACTCCGTGCATGGAAGGTAAACCCATAGCACGTCAGAGGTCCAGATTTCTAGTGACATAATTCCAAATAATCTGATCCTGGAGAGATGATCTCTCAGTTGATCTGAGATGGAACCTGCAGCCAGTCCTCACACAGAGGTGTACTCACCAGTTTTTGGGTTCCCTCTGCAATATCAGTCTTCTTTTGAGAAGTCACTTCTTGCAAAGCTGTCTGGAAAAAAAAAAAAAGGCACCAAGCTTGCAACAAGCATCTCTACAGCTGCTACCTGCCTTATCCTTCCATCATACATCTGTCCACAGGAGAAATCACATTTATGGGTCCTTTGGAATGCCATAACTAGCAGACAAAACTGCAGTCTGTAAGATTTCAAAGACAGGAAAGGAGAATATTGTCACCAAAGTCACTGGCAGCACTAGGAATGCAGCCAGCAGGGGATAACTAGGAATAGGGATAAGGAATTGGTCATCCCTATTCTCATTGGCTCTGGCAGTTATTATACCCCCACAATTTTCTTTGCCAGAATCCTGTTCTTCAGGGAAAAATATAATTTAACATAAGGTCCCAAATAATAGTCAAACACAAGGTTAATAATGCTAATAAGAGAGACATGACTTGCCAAAACAAAAAAGTCCTAACCATAGATTACTATTTTCTTTCTCCCAAAGGAGCTAAAAAGGTTATCTATGAGACCTGAGAGGCAAGTTTCCACTCCTGAAAAGTTACTCCTGTAATTAACCCTACTCTTTTTGCAAGGCATTGCCTTGGGTGACCCTTCTTATGCCTCATTTCTTGCCATGGCTCTCCTCCAGTTCCAATTCTTTGAATTCAAATGGAAAACAAAGAGGAACATCCTTGTGATCCTGTTTGGAAGTGTGATGTGCATCTCTCAAGTCATTGCAGAAATACATTTCAAAAAAAGTCAACTATACTTTTGTATTCAAGTCTGATTTAAAGCACATTTCACATGCCTTACAGTGAAGCAAACAGGTCCAACAGCATTTTGCTAAAATGGCCATTGTTTTAAATCAGAAAAGTCCCTTTCATCCACTGAGTTAGAGGGAAGGGAATAAAATCAAGAGAAGTGAGGAACCCACAGCAGCTTTTCAGAGAAATACAGAACAAGATCTTACTTGTTTCCGGTGATAGTCCTGCCTTAGCACCTGCTCCAGCTCTCGAATGCTCTCTGTGAGCTGCTTGATCTCTGCCTCATGTTCAAATGGGACCGTGCTGAAGGAAAAATAAAGATATTGGGCAGTTTCAGCATCACTATAGTCCAGTCAGAGTACAGTAGATAAAATAATCACTGTCTCCAGAGTTTACAGCCAGTAACTTTAATAATCTGAGCAAGACAGTCTCAAATTAATATATCTTATTTTCCTTTGCTTGTAAGATTTTGCAGTTGAAGCATAATCTAAAGAGCTGTTTTGGCCAAAAGTGGCACAAACATAGAGGATTAAGTTTAAAGATCACGTTAAGCAAAGCATGAAAGTACAACACTCCTACTAATTTTGGTGGTGACTTTCATTCACAAAATTTGCATATTACCTGTCATAAAAAAAACTTATATTAAAGTAGACTTATCCAAGCTAGAGAACCCCCTATGTAGCACACACCAAGAGCAGCTGCCAGAGAAAAAAACATTTTGTTTTGAAAGCTCTCTTGGAAACCAGCCATTTCTTCATCCTATTATCCACAAGCAAAAACAAAACTTAATGGTGCAAAGACACAGGCAGTAGGGCTAAATGGCCTGAAACAGAGATTGTGGCAAACATGTCAAATAACTAAGGAAGACAACTTTACTCATCTATTAAGTTAAATATGGGGTTCCTCCAGCTGTTGAAGGGATAAAGACACATCACTAGGAGCAAAAAGTTTCAACCTAGTTCTCCACATACAAATACAGGATTCCCACCACACAACCATACACTGTAAAAGTATTTTTTTTTTTCTCTGCCAGCAGAGAATAACCACCCCCAGCTATTGAACCAAGTCATTATGACCCAGGAATGGGGCTGTGCACTCAGACTTGTTGAGCCTCACACAGCTGGCACACTGATCCTCCCTGAACAGGAAAGGCAAGCAGTGCATCTCACAGTGCTTTCTCCTCACACTCACTTCAGTTTCTCCAGCTTCAGCACTGCCTCCCGATTTGCAGCCTCCAGGTGTTGGCTTTTCTCCATAGCTGATTTCTGCAAGTTAAATATTTAATTTTAGAGAAGTGTGGTTTTTCTCTGGGTTTCTATTAGAGCCTTGCTCAATGTTGTTTCACATGAAATGCACCACCTCTGAGCTACTAAGATGTTCAGAACAGAAGCCACATACAACTGTTGCACCCAGTTTTTCTCCCAAAAAGACACCCAAGGTGTCAATCCTTCACTTACCAGGCTAAAGGGAAAAAAAAACCCACCAAAAACCTTTTTATAATATCCTGAAATACTTGGCTACATTTGCTACATTTAACATTCCTTGGCTACATTTAACATCCTTGGCTACATTTAACATGTTACATAAACCTGAAGTTAAACCACAACCTTCATGCTCCCAGCTCTCGGTTAGTATCAACTATACTTTTGTAGGTATCTGGAATAAAACAGCAGCCAGTCTTACATAGCTCAGTTGTAGCTCCAAGTAGACCTCATGCCGGAATTCACTGAAGTTCACAAAGTTGAGGATGCCACTCAAGAAGCGAACAGTCCTCTTTGTCTCTGAAACAGGAATTGCAAGAGCTCACTGAGCTGGTTTCCAAAAGCATTGCAATTGCTTCAAAAAAGTGTAAAAGTGCAATTCAGAGGAGACAGAAATTACAAAACACAATCCAAATTAGTTCTTCCCCCACTCAGCTTGCAAAGGTTTCAGACAACACTAAAACTAGCACCAAGCTGGTTACAAACTCTGTGTAATTTAACAAATGAATAATAGCACCTGGGAGAAAAGGCTGTTAACACACAGCCTCCCATTACAACATATGCCAGGGAGAAAGAGTGTCAATCTTGAACTACAGCTCTGAAGAGAGAACCTCTATATAGCCATCAACCAAATTGAAGGCAGCAATTTGAACTGAAGGGACTTTTTGGCTTTATTCCAAGCAAACTTGCTGAAAGATGATTACAAAAGCTTTGAATGTCTTAGACAAGATAAAGCCAGAAGTGAAAGATTCCTTTGGAGCAGCCTTTTCCAAGTTGTCTGTGTTGTGGCAGAATCACCACAATTGGGTACAGAAGTGGAGGACAGGCATCAGCATAAGAAATCCTAAAGCATTCCAGAGCTGTCAGGGTAATTTTCATCACCATTTCATCTATTATTACACTGTTATGTCACAACCCATCTCCAGTCCTGCAGCTGAACAGATTCATAGCATTCAGAACCAGCCTCAGTCCTGACCTGCACCAGCCCACATAAGGAATAAGAACTGCTCACTAGAATCAGCTTAAGGGTCAGAAGAGCAGCAGGAAGTCAAGGATGCTGCTCCACACTAGATGCCCATCTGGCTATGCACAAGGAGAAATAGCACCTGGAATATCAAGCAACACCCAGCACCCCAGGAAACACAAGGATTACTTGCTTACTTGGGTTTAAAACATCAGCAAATTGGAAGTCACTAATCCGGCACATCGGCAGCAAGCGCTCCCTGCAAGGAAAACAAAACAGCTGCAGTGACCATGGCTCAGGTTTTGTGACCATGACTCAGTTCTTGTCCTGTACCCATCTGCTAAAAAACAGATCTTGTCCTCTCATCCCAGAGCATTTGCCCAGCAAAGCACAAGACAAGAATCTTCTACTTACATGTGAATATACAAATTACAGACAGGTAGAAAGCCTTCATGGATCTGTGGGTACATTATCTCAACGCTGAGTGGCATCTAAAGGGTCAAAAGAGAGTTGGTGCATAAGTAGAGAACACTCCAAACAAAAATTATGCAGTATTTTCCACAGCATAAAATAATTCCAATAGATTATAAACACTGAGGATGATCTTCCCATCCACAGGGAACACTTATTAAAGGCTGAAAAATGTCATCAAGTTAATCAGCACATATTTTAAGGGTCAACTGTGGCTGGAAAAGACAAAAAAATAACTAAAGCAGCAACATTACAAACTCTGGAACTCAATCTAAACTCAGTTTTAATTTGTTCATAACTTGTGCAGCACAACAGTCTCTGCATTATACAGCTACCAGCAAGAAGCTCCCTTTTTAAACACCCCAAAATTGACACAGTCAACTGCTTCATGAAGAAGTCAGGAGGAGATTGAAGTGGTACACTGTCCCCTTTCTCTGGTTTCTCTTTAAACCTCACAGCACAGCATGGCAGCTGATATCCCTGCCTGGGGAAGAACAGAGTTGCCTTGTGCACATAATACTTTCAATAAACATTTTCAGTTTATCCAGAAATGCCATGAGACAAAACCATTTACTCCCACTTTCAAAGATCAGCTCTTGCCTAACAGAGACAGCAGATAAATTCATGATAGTCAATTATCAGACTCTCCTCACTTTCTTCTCTGTTAATGGAGAAGTGGAGATGGTCAAATATCAAAAGCAACATTTACATTCCTTCCAGATCAGTCCAACCTCCTCCAGCCATGGCCAAAGGCAGGAGGCCAGTATGGATTTTCAAGGCATGGTGTCCCTCTAAAAGCTTGTCCAATCCCTCCTGGACCTTACAGACATTTCTGGCACATTTTTAGCATCCCAAAGAACAGGTAAGTCCAATATTCTTTTCCTTTCACATCCCATCATCCCTGCCACAGGCAGCCCTACCATGTAGGCGTGCACCAGTCGGATTCCACACACTTTCTGTAGGATTCTCAGGTAAATCAGGTGTAAAACTTCAAGCTGCAGGAAGAGAGGACATGAATCAGTATCCCGTATGTTTAATTACTCAGGGCTCCCAGGCCAGGCCATAGAAGCATTCAGCTTTTAACACATGAAGGCTGATTTCACTGAGCTGCCACGACAACCAAGTTTCACTTTCCAACATTTTGCAGTTCAAGCATTACTCGCTGATAATTCAGTTTTAAGGGGCAGCAGTCAGCTTGGGCGATTACAGCCCTGACTGCATATGCCAGGCATTGGTTTTCATTACACAGCTGCTTGCTGAGCAGTTTCCAAACCAAGTAACACCAAAAGCCTAAAACAAGTCACAGAAATTATAATCTTGTAGCAACGAGTGCTCTTTATTAGATTATTAAAATGAAGAGGAAAAATATCACATACAAGCTAAACAGTTTTTCATTTATAGCACTAACCCACGATCAATTCTGCTTCTTAAAAATCATCTAAACAAGCAGGGCCAGACCCCTTCTACCGCAGGCTCAAACACAAGCAATAACAGCACCGGCATCACTCGGAGGCATCGATTCCACTTTAAAGCCACTTTTCTTCCGCCGAGAACACTCATTAACACTAAACAGTCAGAGTGATGAAAGGGGGTTCTGCAGAGAGGGGTTTAAAACTAGGGCTTGGTCTAAAAGCACTAAATGGATCCGGCAAAATGTTGGAACTAGACGCCGTGGCTGTTTTTACCCAGCTCCCACGGAACTGGCAAAGACAGGCCGAGTGCTGCTGGTGACACCCCCGCGCTTCGAGGAGAGCCCCGAGACCCCTCCGAGCCCAAGCCAAGCCCGTTCCACCCAACCCCGCGGTCACTCGGGCCGGGCCGGCGCGTCCGTCCCACACGGGAGCGAGCGGGACACGGAGCCGCCCCGCGCCCCCCCTCACGCACCTTGGGGTTGCCAAAAACGTCGCTCTTGACCAGGTTGCGGGCCTCGGCGCCCTCCAGGACGTGCGAGCGGAGGTAGCTGATGATGTCGTCGGGGCTGTAGCGGGGGAAGGTCATGGTCTCCATGGCGGCGGTGGCAGAGGAGACGCGGCGGGGACGCAATGGCAGCAGCGGTGCGCGCCCGCTGCTTGAATCGGCCACGCCCCGCCCCCTCCCCCTCTCTGACCTATCAGAGACCGTTTCGTCATCGGGGGGCGGGGATCGGCGCGTTCCCGCCCTCTCCTGGCCTATCCGCGGCCGCGCTGTGGTGAGGGGGCGTGGTTTGGCAGGCCCCGCCCCTCCGCGGCAGTTGGCCGTGAGGGAAGGGCCGGGGTGTGGCGGCCGCGTCGCTTCGGTTCCGTCAGGCGCGGCTGTCACGGCCTCTGGAAGAGTCATAAAATCCCTGGAAGGAGCTTTAAAGCTCACCGAGTTTTCCCCCTGCCATGGGCAGGGACACCTTCCACTATCCCAGGTTGCTCCAAGCCCTGTCCAACCTGGCCTTGAGCACTTCCAGGAATGAGGCAGCCTCAGTTTCTCCGGGCTTCCTGTGCCTCATCACTTTTGCAGGGGAGAATTTCTCTCTAGCATCCACTCTAAACCTGTCCTCTGTCAGTGTAAAGCCATTCCTCCTTGTTGTTTCATTACCTGCCCGTGTAATGAGTCACTCTTCCAAAAGCCCTTTAGATGAGTTCTCCCCAGTATCTCCAGGCTGTACAGCCCCAGCTCAGCCTGCCCCCATACCAGAGTTGCTCCAGCCCTCTGAGCATCTTTGTGGTCTTTTCTGGACCCACTCCAACATCTCCACATCTTGTGCCGACATTCCCAGAGCTGGACACACTACTCCAGATGGGATAAAAACCTCCTGGCTCCTGAAAGGAGACAACAGCAGCCCAGCATTGCACGGAACTCTTGCCTAACCAGTACCACCTCTTGCAGCGTGACACCATTTCTAACAAAATTCGGGCTGTTCCCACTCTCCCCACAAAGTTCCGATGCTCCCGTGCCACGCACAGCTTCCCACACCTCCACTCAGCTGGAAGCAGGTCAGCAAGGTCACAGCAGCATCCACAGGCAGCTTCTGCAAGCCACTGACATTATGGAGGTGTCACCTGGCACCGAGTGTGAGACAGAGATGCTCCAGCCACTGTTCCACACTTGCCGATGTAAAAGCCAGGCTCGATTTCCAGCTGGGAACTCCGCCAAGGGCTCAGGTGAGCCACGGACACAAAGTGCATCCCGACAGCCTTGCAGCCGGACACCTCCTCGGCATGGCTGGGAGGGCAGTGCAGCTTCCATAGGGCTGCTTGCAGTCCACAAAGTGCTAAGGTCTCAAACAATGTCTCCTTCAGGTAGACCATGGCCCTTGGGCCTCGTGTTTCTTTTGGGGATGGCATCAGAGGGGATCAGCTGCCCGAGCAGGTGTAGCTGTCAGTACCTGGAGGTGAACTGCAGCGGACAGCAGTTGCAGGAGTTCCCTGTGGATATCCCTCTGGACACCAGGCAGCTGATTCTGGCAGCAAACAACGTCTCGTACCTGCCAGCAGTGGAATTGAGCTTCCTGGCTGATTTGGTCTATCTGGACTGCAGAAAGAACCTCCTGGGGGATGACCTGGATTTCACTTTCATTGGCGTGGCCAAGCTTGTCTATCTAGACCTCAGCTTCAACAACCTCACACAAGTTACCTTCAGCACCTTCTCCCACCTCCTCAGCCTGGTGGTGCTGAAGATCTCGGACAATCCCAACCTTGTGACCATCGAGAAGGATGCTTTTGCCAACAACACCTGGCTAAGGCACCTGGATGTGAGCCGGACAGGCTTAACCTTCCTGGACACCAGCACTGTCCGGGACTTGCCCAGCCTGAGGCTTCTGGGGCTCAGTGACAACCTGTGGCACTGCAACTGTTCCTTTTTGGATTTCATCACCTGGATGACGGAGAGCGATGTGCATTTTCCAGGTGAGGGCTGTGTGAGCACAGATCTGCATGGAACAGAGAGAGCCCTCTGTTCTCTTTCCCAAAAGTTCAGTTCATGGGGTTGTGCCACTGCATGCCGACTGTGGGTGCCATTTTCTGCTGTCACACAAACTGGGGATGGGAGCAGCTGGGTTACACACACTCCACACATGAAGAGTCACACTTGTTCACATCCCCAGGGCAGCCAGGGAGGTGTAGTCTGTAGCTGGGATGCTGCTGCTTCCCTAAAACACCTGGATCCAGCCTCAGGTGCCTCTGTGCGTGCACAGCACAGAGAAGCCCAGCACAGCTCCAGGGAGATATGCACTGGGAAAATCATTGCTCTGAATTTCCTGCCTTGTCTCCACCCCAAAATCAGCTGCTGCTCATCATGTTGAGAGATTCTATAACTGGGCCTTGGAGAGGCTGAGACAGGGTAATCACCAGTTCCCTTTCCCATAAAAACGCTGCTCCCAAGGGTGGTGTTTTGCTTTGCAGCTGCAGCACATGGACTTAATTTTTCCAAACTGAAAAGAGACACAGCACAGCACACATGAACAAGGAAAGCTTTGGTTTCTGTAATGTAGGGCACAATGGAGAGAGACCTGCAAGAGAAAAATTGTTAGAGAAAGTCTGTCTGCTGAATAAGAAAGGGCCACAAAAGAGCCCAAGGGGAAAAAAGGGAAGGGCAATTGGAAGCTGGTGTTAGGACAGAACTGAATTAAAGACATCTCAGTGTCTTTATTAGATGTTGTAAGCTCCTTATAGACAATAAAGGGTTTTTTTTCCACATACAGGCTGTTATGGAAGAGTGGAATAAAGTACAGCTCTCAGCAGAGAGATTGGAGATAACCCACTGAACCCTGCAACAGGAGAATAAAGCTCATTGCAGGCTGCTGGGGAGGGGAGGAGTAGGAAAGGCAGCCTTAAACTGAGGCCAGAGGGATACTGGGACAAAGCCCTGGAATTTGCTGCAAGCAGACCCCAGCCTGGCCTTTAGAAAGGCTCCTGACCTTCAGAAATGTCTGTGCACCAGAGTTTTGAGCTCAGCCCCGGGGCTGACACAAAGCTGCCCAAGTCTGGATGGATTTGGGTAAGAGAGAGATAAAAGCTCTCCAGTTTTACTGAGGACCAGGAGCGAGATCAGCATGAACATCACTGCATATACAATGCAGTGTAATGCAATAAAAACCCCCCCTGCCTTGTTCCCCTCCACCACTTCCATTCCATCCCATGCATCCAGCAGTGCCCAGCCTGTGGCTCTCTTCCCTCAGGCTCTTCCATCCTTGTCCATCAAGCAGTGGCCACCAGCCCATGCCCACCACAGCGACTGTGTCTGCGGGGTTCAAAACCTGCAGAGGAAGGAGAAGGCTGAGGGCACACCCTGCACCACATTAATCCTTCACTAACTTGAAAGGGAGCAGGCAGCATCTGTTTTATCACTGCAGATATTGCAATATGACAGGGTATGGTTGTTATTTCAGTGGAACTGAATCACTGATGAGCTGCCTCTGCCTCCCTCACAGAGCAGGTAAGGCTGTGCCTGACTGCAAACCACGCTTGTTGTCAAACGCACAGCAGCCTCATTACTCCAGCATCACTTAGGCTGTATCACTTCAGAAGGTGTTTGAGATTTTAAAAAAAAACAACAAACACAGGTGCACTTATATGAAGATGAAAGTGCTCAATCAGCAGAGATGAGCAGGGCAGGGACAGCAGTTTGCCACAGTGGCATAATCCAGTGGGCAATATTATCCTATGGAGCCAACACTGCAAAAAATATTCTGGCAACCTGAGAATTGTGGTTTGGCAAGGGTTTAGCACAGGTTTGGCACGAGTTTGGCTGTCAGATTTTACCCAAAATCTGGGGGGAGTGGAGAGGGGAGAAGTGAAGTCTGCAGCTATTTTTCAGACTTTTAGCAAGCACCCTTATAATTTTTCTACCAGGACTCCTATTCATTAAATTATGATACAGACTAGAGAGTCCTGCTTCTGCTCATCTCTCTGCAGATGCTGACAACATCACCTGCTACACCCCAGCAGGCCTGCATGCCCTGAGGATGCCAGCAGCAGAGGCACAGCTCCACTTCAGCTGCCTGACCCAGCTGTACAAGCAGGATTATGTCTTTCTGTGCCTCGTTGGCTTCTGCATATTCCTTGCTGGCACCATGGCAGCCTGGCTGGCCGGCGTCTGTGCTGTCATCTACGAGGCCCATGCCTCAAAGGGAGAGGAAGAGGAGGATGAGGAGGAAGACATAGCCACTTAGGATCAGTCCTTCCGAACTCCCATTGTGGGAACCAAAGGCAGGCCTTTCCTGCCTGATTTCCCATGTTGTCCCACCCTAGATTGTTTATTGTCTTGTTTTTTTTTGTGAAATAAAACTGCAAGAGAATGAAGTATCTGTGCTCCAGTTTCACTTGCTGTTCTATACTCACTCTTCTGCCACTGGGACTCAGGATATTGGCAAAATATTCATTTTGGGGAAGTGTGAGAGGTGTGCAAAATGCCAAGCATTTCCACTTCCACCCTACCTTGAGACCACAGAACAGCAGGGACATAAGGACTGGCTTGAAAAGGTACTGAAATATGGGAAAGGTCCTGGCACTGTGCTGTAGCCAAGGAGGCCAAAAAATCCAGCAGGGCTTACTGGGATCAGCCTACACAGCCGGAGCCCCAGGGAGTTACTGGATTGCTAGAGCCTCAGGGAATTCAAGAACTTCCTGCTGTGGAAAGGCAAAGAGATTAAAACCAGGATTTTTAGGAGCCCAGGATCCCACTGGTTCTTTTCTTTCCCATTACACTAGTGACAGCAAAAGAACCCTCTGTGCTCCTGCAGTGCAGCCAGACATCCTGTGCCTCCACTGCTGTATGAACATTTACAGAACTGGAAAGTCAGCTCTGCTGTTGTGTCACATAACCCTAAAACTGGAATGTTTTATAAAGTAAAAATATTGCTTACACATTCTCTAAATATTCTTGGGAAGGGGTTGCATGTCCGTACCAAAGTGTCAGAGTTACATCTACAGGGAGATGTGAGATCCTTGTTACCACCAGCGCTGGGAATTGCCAAGGGAAGGATCTGCTTACATGACCGAGCACGGCAACTCCAGGTGTGAAACACCGGCTGCTTCAGCCGACACTGCAGGGTCTGCTGAGATAACAGGGGAAACCAGGAGATTTCAGCAAGCACGGTGTGAATTACCAAACTTAGAGCCATTAAACTGTAGACTGCGAAGCAACGCTGAGAGCTCTTGGCTAGAATGGGTATGAGGGAGAGGGTGAGGACTGCGTGCGGGAGACACGCTGGGGCACAGCTTAATGGCAAATCCCTCCGCAGATCCACAGCACTGCCTATCCCACTCTTCTCTGGCAGCAATGAGACCGATGGCGCCTGGCCGAGCCCCGGCCCCGCCTGCGGGCGGTGCTGCGGGCGGGACGGCCCCGCCGCCGCTGCCGCCCCCGGCTCCGTGCCCGTCCCCGGCTCCGGCTCCGTCCCACAGCGCCTGGGCTGCTCCGCACCGCGGTGAGGGTGAGTGCGGGGACAGGGGGATGCTCCCAGGGCGTGGAAACTCAGGTGGTCCCGATGGAAAATGCAGGAAGCTCCGTGGACATCTCCCAGCCGGGGGAGGCTCCGGGGGAAGGGGGTTGCGGGGCGAGCAGGGCAGAGCCCCGGCAGCGAACGGGGGCGCGGGGCGACAAAAGGCTCTGCTGGCTCCAAGGGCTGAGCTTACATCGGGTAATCCAGTCCGAATCCACGCGTGGGGCTGTTCGAGGAGCCTAAATGCGCTTTGCTGACTCACAGCAGCTGCAATGTGGTGGCAGAGTTGGGAAGGACCCTTTTTGTGCTGCCGCTTTGTGCCGCGTTATGCTCCAAAGTCTCGTGTCTGTGGCTCCAGCAGGCAACATCGCGGGGTAAAAGGTAGAAATTGAGTCTTGCCTGTCAGCAAAGTCCTTGCGGCCGCGGTCAAAGGGTGCAGAAACGCTCCGGGAAACAACCCTGGGACTCCTGGTGACTTAGGAGTGCTTTATATGCTCCAAATATTTGCTTTTATATGGCTCCAAATTACGAGAGCAAAGGCTTGAGGTACACTTTGATATCAGTAGTGTAAGAGTAGCAGTTTTATGACACACCCGGTTTAATGCTTTGCCGTGCTCTTTGCTCCCAAGGTAAAGCCCCAGATTATAACTTAGTGCTGGAAGACAAAATGCCTGGTTATCCAACAACCTTGTAATTTGAAGGGGGAAATGTGACCACCAACCTGCTCTACATGTTCTATTTTCAGTGTGTCACCTGTCAGGTGCTAACCTCAATTACAGGTGCATGCAGCTGACTTTTCTTCATTACTTCAGGGTTTTAATATTCTTATTGATAATTGTTTACCGCACTTCCTGTGGACAAAGCCAGCTGTTGTCTTCACCTTGCTCCATCGATGACAATCCTTTGCAAATGAGAAATAAAACCCTCTAGTCCCCAAAGATCCCTTGTGAGGGGTGCAGGGGGAAGACTTTGCAGCAGTTCCCTGAGGTGGCCTGGTTCTCCCTGCACTGACAGATTGTGCTGGTGGGTCAGTACAGGAGACACCAAAACCTCACTGAATCGTGGAGACACCATCTGGAGACAGGCACCAACTGGGGTTTGATTGGGAGAATTATCTCGGTGCTGGAGGGAGATCTCTGCTGCCTTCTGCTGTGCTGTGTCGTGCAGCACCCTCCAGGGTCACCCAGACAGGCGTCTGAGGTCTGGGGTTGTGCAAGGTGGCTGTGGAGAAGCGCCCTTGTGCTCTCTGGGAGCCGGGAGGGAGCTGGAGTGCTCTGTTGGAGCAGGGCAGGCTTATGGGGCTGGTGAGCAGGAAAGAATGAGAATGTGGAATGTGGCATGACAGAGGCTGCAGGATGCACCTTCTGCCCCACACTTCTGTCTCAGGCGTGCATGAGGGAGCACAGAACCATTAGACAAAAGCCACACAGGCCCTGGTGTCCCCTGGCCGCTGGTGCAGATGTTTGTAAATGCCAGTAGCTGTGTGTTGTTGGAGCTCTTCACCAGTTTGTGATGTTGAGAGGGTTCCTGGGAGCTGCAGGGCTGAGCATTGGTCATCTGGCCAGTGGCTCTTTACCCAAAAGTTCAATTATCATTGCCCTGGTGGTGGGTTTTATTAGTATTTTATATAAGGGTGACCTTAGCAGTACAAATTAATCATTGATTGAGCCCAGCTCCTTCCAGCTCAGGGGATTTCTGAGCCAGGTTCTTTTATAATTCCAAATTTACCTCTTAGTCCCAGAAGTTTCCGGGTTTCCTGTTGAATTCCTGCATTCACAATGTCCCTTGGCAAGGAGTTCCACAGGTTTGGTTCCCGGTGCATGAAGAAACATCTCTCTTAGGGAACAGGCTGGAAATAAAGTGACTTCATTTGGTGGCCCCTAGCTCTGGGGCTGGAAAGGCCCATGAGTTTCTGCCCAGGCTGCACTAAGGTTCTCCAGACACCACTTCCCACCAATGCTTAGGTGATTTGAAGGCTTTCTTGACAGGAACTATGCAGAGAACTCCTGGTTTGTGCAGGCTCCAAAAGGTACAAATTCCTTCAGACAGTCCCTGTGCTGGTAGCTCTTGGGGTCCAAGCTCAGCGACTCTTCCATGCACGCATATCATGTGTTGCCAACTCCCCAAAATATTCACGGGCTCTCTTTCTCTGGCAGCACCACCATGGCTGTTCTCTCTTCCCCAAAATATTCACAGGCTCCCTTTCTCTGGCAGCACCACCATGGCTGTTCTCTCCAAGGAATATGGCTATGTCATGCTGACCGGGGCCGCCAGCTTTGTCCTGGTCATGCACCTCGCCATAAACGTGAGCAAGGCCCGCAAGAAGTACCGTGTGGAGGTGAGTGCTCAGGCTGAGGGGGTGGCAAGGTTGGAGCCAGCCTGCTGACAAGCTCGGTGACACCTTGAGCAGTTTAGGGTGACTTGCTGACATTTCCTGCCCTACCACACTGATGTAGAAGGGATGGAGCTGCCATGGCTCTCCAGAAAGCGTAACAGAGCTTGGGATTTGGGGCATCAGGTGCTTGGCACCAAGATGAAAGCATGTGGCTTTGAGCTTGGCAGCACAGATGGGCAATAAACTGCTTGGCCCTTTTTCTCTGCAAATAAGATTTGATGCAGCGCTGGGGAGAAAGGGGCCATAGTGGCACAGAAGTGACAGGAGGGTTTCTCAAACTCAAGGGGACAAGTCTTTCAAGTGACCTTCCCCCACTGGGGAGCCTTTAAGCCAGGCAGAGCTGTGGGCTGGGTGGGGACACCTGTGAGTCAGGGCCATGGCATGCAGTGGCTGCTGTGCCACTTGGCTTCAGCACAAGCCACTGCTCCTTCCCTCTTTCACTGCTTCACTCACGGAACGGACAAACAGGGGTGGGCACGAGGACAGCTCCAGCTGCCTGCTGGGGTGATCCCATTCCTGCTGCATCAAGTCAGGATTGCAGCAAATGTACCCAGTGCGTGTGGTGCACAGAGGGCTGGATTTGAGGCCTGGGGAAGCCTCTGCATCCAGGCAGCAGCTCCAGGAAGGCAGTGACCTTGAACACAGCTTTTGTGCGCCCCAGGGCAGGCACAGGCTCTAACCTGCCACTGCAGGTCGGTCTTGCCAGCACCCAGGCAGCCCTGGGCTCCTGGGGAGAGGAGCTGCAGGGCACATTTGCTGATGTTTTGCTGCTGGTTTATTTTTTGGCAGTACCCAGCCATGTACAGCACAGACCCTGAACACGGGCAGATATTCAACTGCATCCAGCGTGCGCACCAGAACACGTGAGTGACACTTTTGAACGGGGGCCTTGGAACAAACAGGGCTGAGGAGCAGGGCCCACAACCACAGTGGTGCTGCTTTGACCCAGGCTCAGCCCTGCAGTGCTTAGCAGGAAGGCTATGCTGGCTCCTTCCCATGCCTTAAACCGTGGGATGGTGCTGTGAAGCCGTCTCCTCTTCCCCAGTTCTCAACAATTTCCTTCCATGGGTAGATAGTGAGGAATCTCATTTCCTGTAAGTGCTGATCTGTTGTGCTGCCCAGGTCTCCCTGGGGAGTGGCCAAAGTCCACCCAGCTCCCGTGGACAGGTTGCAACAGCACATCAGAGGGGTGCTGGGAAGCACAACTCCTGGGGAATGTTTAGAGTGGCTTAGGGAACAAAAAGGAAAGAGTGGGTGGGTGTTCTGGGAGAGAAGCATGGGCTGGGAGGAAGCCCCTAAAACTGTGTGTGCTCAGATCCCTTCTTTCCTCAGC